AGATTCCTGTTACTGCCTCGCTCAATTGAGGGAGGGCAGAAGCAACTTTTGAGGTTGCGGTTCAGGAGAGCCACCTGGGCGATGGATAGTCCTATATCTGCAGGTTGGAAAGTGAGGAGGGTTTGGGGTTTCCAGGGCCAAAGGGAAGATGTATTTTACAGCCCTCTCTCTATGCATAAACCCGTCCTTCTTCTCAGGATCAACAGTTACCCTTTACCACCATCACTACGTCCCCTCACATCCTCATCCATCCCCACCAAACATTCCTACCAAACACCACCGCCCCCCTCAGCCTCGCATTGTCACAAATATAGTGCAATTAATTACAAGTCTCCTCCTCGAGGGCAGGAATCGTGTTTCAGGTATTTATACATCCCCAGCGCCTTACATGACATTTGATACCTAGTTAATGCTCAATAATTGTTTGTTGAAGTCAAATGAATTTAATTGGGTCGGCTAGCCTTGGAGGGTAGGGCAGGATTCATAACGTCCATAGTTTTTAAAAATAAAATTTTGGAGATTGTTTTGAGTTAATTTGTCTAATTGTGAAAAGCCAAGGGCAATTATCCTTGGATACTCCTAAAGAAGAAAGATGCGGTAATTTGCAAGGCATGAATTCTTCAAAGATTTTGTTCCTCAGCCACTATGAAGTACGAGTTAGAGTTAACAACTTAGAAAACTATGAAATGAACGGAACTGGTCTAATTTCAGTGCAGCAATTATAGCTCTTTTTGTGGATACACGAAAAACCCAAATGTGGTTACTATAGCAGTAAATTGGTCTCCAAGAAACTCTTTCATTTTCTCAAGAAAAAAAATTCTATAATAGAGCAACCAAATGATGAGAAAAATAATCCACAAAGAAACACAAATGAATCTGGAAACAAAAACTGATCTATTAGCAAATGCCTCAATGGGAGAGAAAAGAACAAAACAAGACTAACCACTTAGGCAAGGAAATGGGTGCCAATTTTTAAAGAGAGACTTTTACAGTGTTATTAAAATGATGAGTGTTTTTCCGACTTTCCTTCGTGGCTAAGGAAATGAGATATTTTATTAAATGGAAAGGGAATTCGTCTTGTGTAAGATATAGACATTAAAACACATATCGGCTGAGAAGCCCAATAAAAAAGAGATTATTTTACAAGACCTAAAGTTTTAGGTTAGTACACATGCGGCAGCCAGATGACTAAACTGATGGGAAGGCACAGGAAAATTTTCCAATGCATGAACTTTTTCATTAGTGAGAAATACAGTATTTCAAATTCCGGTTTAATGAGTTTGAAGGTATCGGCTGCACTAAGAAGCCCAACGCCCGCTGCCTTTCATCTCTGTGAATTCCACCGTGTCATTGAACTTAGATTTATTTGGATAAACTGAAGTCCCTTGTTACTTTGATAAATATATATTTATTGCCCTGAGATTAAAAGGAGTAAGTTTTAGGATTTCTTGTTCACCATCTCAGTAGTACCCAGGGCCTATGTGTTTTTGTCACTAGCAAAATTCCTTCAAATCTGACAATGCCCCCAAGTGTTCAACGTGGGGGCCCCTCTGTCTGGAAGAGGTCCAACTCGAATAGATGTCACTATTCATAGTAGCCTAGGCAGTAAGCACCCTGAAGGCTGGGCTTTGCCTCATCTGGGGTATCGGGTGCCTAGCTCCATGTCCTGCATACAGTAGGTGCCTGAACATGTTTGATAAATAAGTGAATAAAATGAATGTTTTCTGAGGCTTGGATTCATTAGCTGGCATTCAAACTTACAGAGCTTAGAGCTGAAGGAGGGCTGGGAGGAAACCATCTACATAGCTAGTTTTCAAAGCGTGCTCTTCAGAGCCCACTCACTCACTAACGCATTGCCATTGAGCACCTCCTAGGAGTCAGGCAGTGTGCTAGGTCATGAGGACGTGGCAGGGGGCAACACAGACAAGGTCTCTTTTCTCGTGGAACTTAGGATCCAGATCACCTGATTCTATAGCATCAAGCTACACTCCTGTTTCAAACTGTGTCTTTGTCACATATCGGTGAGACATCGGCAAAGGGACACTCAGATCACCTTGTAAAGCGAGCTGCAAACAAGTGGGATCCCCGAGAACTTTCTAAGAGGAGGCACAATGTGATCTGCTACTGCCAGCCAGCACTTCCTCCTCTTCCTCTCCTTCCCCAGTCTACGGAAGAAGACTGCACAGGGTGGGAGAGAGAAGCGTGTAGTTGTCAGAAGGACTGCGATCTGGTGAGAGTGTACCTCCTCCTCTCTGTGATGAGGTCACACGGACATCTTGAAGAGTAGCTGGTCTTGCTGCTGCCTTGTCCAAGAGTTCTTGGCAGGAAAACTAGCGGCAAGAGGGGTGAAAGAGCCAGAGCCGGACCTCCCATGTACGGTACTGAGCCATGGGGTGGCTCCTCTGTGCTGCCTCCTTTCCTGCCACCAAAGAACTTGCACATGAACTTCAAAGGAGAGCCAGCATGTAGGGATCAGGGACAGGAAGGGAGTGGGCAGCCAATGCTAGTTAGAGGAGCAGCCCCAGTTCCCCAAGAGAGGACACAATGAGATCGCAGCTCTCTCTCTTCTGCCCACTCCCGACCTCCACACCAGAGGGGCCGGGCCTTGAGGAGGGCAAGAGTATTACAGACCTGGAGTGTTTCAGGATGTTTAAAAAGCATGTGTGTCTACCATTTTAACCCAGTGCAAACACCACAATTTCTTTATCAAGTATGTGGGAATCTTGCAGTAATCACAAACTCATTTTGAGAGAAATCCTCTGTGCATATTATTTGGGGTTTTAATCTAAATTTGACTTAAGCAAGGAAAATGTGATTGGTTACCTTAATCTCTCTTAAAGCAGAGACTGGCAGACTTTCTATGAAGGCCCAGATAGTAAATAGTCTTTGTGGGCCACAGGTCTTTGTTGCAAGTACTCAACTCTGCTATTTAGAGAGAAAGCATTCTTAGATAGTACAGTATGTAAATGACTAGGTGTGGCTATTTTCCAATAAAACTTTATTTATGGACTCTGAAATTTGAATTGAATATGATTTTCATGTGTCACAAAATATTCTTCTTTTATTTTTTCCAACCCTTTAAAAATGGTAAAAATCATCCTCAACTCATGGGCTGTCCACAAACAGGTGGCAGGGTGGATGTGGACCGCGAGCTGTCGTTTGCTATGCCCTCTTTTAACTGGTTCATTGAGCTCCATTACATACAAAATCCTATATAGGCTTTTGTATACAGAGATGCCATTTTCTTCCATAACTCATTAAACCAGAAGGAAAATATCTTTTTGGGAAAAAAATCATTCTAAATGCCCCTGGAAGGATTGCTAGGAATTGAGCACACTTTTAGATAGCTTTTTCTCCATCTCTGTCCTGCAGGAGGTAATTCAGTCCCAGCGAACCCAAACACAGATATTTTATTTCTTCTATCATCACCCAGGCACAGAAATCAATACTACTGATCACAGAAGTGTGTGCTTAGGGAAAACAAAATGATCGTGTGACCTAGCATCAGCCCAAACATGGCACTCCAGGATGCAAGCCTATATAAGGCTCAGAGCCGGCCTGGATGAAGCATGTTCCTGCTGATATCCACATGAATCTCAAGAGAGAAGTGCTTCCAAATGGTAACGTTGCAGTCCCCTCCCCAGGACTGTAAAACACAGAGTCACTCCTGATTCTTGCATTCCTGGTGAACAGGAAGATCGGAGGTGTTCCCAGGTCTTGCTCCTGATGCAGGGTAAATCTAACACGAGCCTTAGCGCCTGCTCCTTCGAGACTTGGACGGCCCATGAGGACAGGCACGACTTTGCCATCCAGCTGCAGAGGCTCCATACATTAGGCCTAGACTAGAGCAGAGTGACCAACTGTTCTGGCACTGTTTCCCAGGACAGAGGCCTTTCCATGCTAAAATTGGGACAGTTGGTCACCCTAAAAATGAACCCCCTCTATTTCTATTTCCCTGTCGTCTTCCCCTTCTCCCAGTTCTTCCAAGGATGCATGACCATCCAGTGCTTCTCTGTGAAGCAGAAGCTGCACTAGGCTTGGGAAAGAAACTTTGTGTGGAAAACCTCAGAAATACTCCACTTCATGCCCTTCCCAAGGTACAGATGTACCTTTTGTTACGAGAGAGCATAAATGTGAGAAGATCCCCTTCTCAGTGTAAAGGGTTCTGAGAGTGTTAGCTTCTGCTTCAACCTTGCCGGAAAAGATGGGTTTAAAAAAGACAAACATTGCACATCCATTATCCCTCAACACCCTCACAGCATGAGTGGGTCCATTCATATAACAGGCACAACTTTGTCTGGAAAACTTCTAAAGACCCCTTTTGCCCTAAATGCACTGTGGGAGTATAACTCCAGTGCACTTCTAAGGAATTCTTGGCCAATATTTTAACATCTCATAAAAGATATTTTCCGGTGTCCCATTAAGAATATAACATAACAAATTATTTACATCTATGATAAAACTAAACCAATCAACCAAGCACATTTTTAAACTGTCCTAGCTTCGACCTAATTAACATTTTGCCTCGGTAGATGATTTCAAATTTCAGTAATGAGTCACTCAGTCAAGTATGAAAAATCAGTGAACTGTATGTTTGTGTATCCATGGGATTATGTATCTAAAATTACTCATTACTTAAACTGAATTCAGGTATTGCATTTTGATCTCCTTGATTATGGAATATCAATTTGTTAGTAATTTGGGAAGGAAAAAAATGCAACCTTTGGATATAGCAATAGAAACAGGAGTCAGAAAATTTTCAGGCAGAAACATATGCACCCTGAATGTCAACATGGAGTGGGCAGTTAAGTGTTTTGTGATTATGGAGCATGTGTTTTTATATTAGAGATCAGCGTCACCAGCATCTTCAAGGTGAATGTATGGGCTTGTGTGTCTGCCATCAACTGGCCCACAGGAAGCTCTTCCTCTGCCAGAGGAGGTCTCAGAGCTGTGCAGCAGCCTTCTCCGCAGGAGGGGGCACAGAAGAGTGAGTCACCCACCTGACCAGGTCTATGACCCGCTCCCTCGGTGCAGCGCTGACCGGCTCATCATTAATCATTACAATCTGATCCCCTGGGATCAGCTTGCCTTCTGAGGGTCCACCTGGAGAGAAACAAGAGTGAAGTGCAGGTGAGAAGACCATTGCTAATCCATTGGTAGCCTCCTCTCCCCATCATGATTCACTAGGAGCAACGCGTGCTACCAGCAAAAACAAAACCCAACCACACCTGCATGTTCTCTACATCAGAGCTTCTCAACCTTGGCTGCACAGTAGAGAGAACTGGGGAGCTTTGGACCAGCCTGAGGCCCAGGCTACACCCTGGCCAATTAAATCAGAATCTTCGGAGGTAGGACTCAGGAATCAACATTTCTCTAAAACTCCCCAGGCAAGGTTGAGTCTCAGCAGCTCCGCAGCGCTGAGGCATTTCTCACAAGCTCCCAGGGGCTGCTGATGCTGCTGGTCAACTGACCACACTTTGAGTATGGAGGCCCCTAGAAGAAGGTATTTCCCCCACAGGTGGCCAATCAGTTGTGTCGATGCCCTGCAGCCAAAGCTGCAACAACCTGGGCACTCCTGGACATGAACAAAGTTGCATGTATTTTCTTGTTACAACCAGGGAGATGGCACCCTCTGGGGAATCTTATGGCAGGTCAATAAGAGGGTCTTAGGAAGGAATTATGGGATTTGGCCTTGTGTTATGTGCTTTGGGGGAGGGTTCAAGGAAGCGGGGGATTGCTCTCAGGAAGCGGGGGTAATTCTCTTGTGAGCATCTTAGTAATTCTTGTCTAAAGGTGGGGGAAAGAAGCAGGGCTAAAGCTGGACCTGGGACTAAAGTTGGGATTGATAAACTCCTATCACCTGAGAGAGGAGGGTGTTCGGTCAATTTTGTGGTTTGGACCGTGCTTGGATGTTTGTGTCTGTGCTCGCATATGATTACAGAGGACTCTTGTCTTTGTCCTGATCCATCACGGTCACAGACTGGCCTTGTCTGATATGGATGTTCGGTGAGATTGTTCATGGTCAACAGGAGAGCACCAGACCCAGCGGTGAGTGTCTGCCAGCTTCAGGATGTCAGGGGCTGCTTTTCTCTCTTTCAGCTGTTCTTCCAAGGAGGAGGTAGGGAGCTAATATTTGTCGAGCATCTAATATGCACCAGGCAATGGGCTAAATGCTTTGTCTAGTAACCTCAGTGAATACTGTAATCCCTTCCATAGAATGAGATAACTGAGGCTCACACAGGGTAAAGAACTGGCTGCAAGGCCAGGACTAGATCTCAGCTTAGGTCTGTGGGCTCCTCCAAGTTCAGAGAGGCCAACATCTCTTTTAAACTTGCTCCTAAAATTAAAAAACTGGTCACTGCCTGGTCTCTTGACACATAGAGCCACACTGTGTGAAGCACACATCTGTGTTAAATAAAACCTATAAACAAATACTTAAATTATCTGGATAATTATCTTTCAAATATTACCACTTTTATTTCGTAATTGAAATGAACACTTCACACCCAGAAAATGGAAATCAAACTAATTCAGTTGTTCTTCACCCCCCCAGACACTTGGCATGTGTGTCACTCAAGCTGGAGCATAAACTTGTATCCTTTCTGGAGAGCAAGAGAGTGGGGAAACCTTAGCATGTCCCCATCTCTTGGTGATAATCTTCATTTCAAGATGTGGGAACTGAAATTCAGTGTTTGCACACATGAGGAATTCTGAAAAATCACTTGAGAGACTCTTGGTAACTATTGGATAATAATGCAATCACTCAAATTTGAACAAATGGTTGGAAATCAAATGCTGGTCAAATACAGACAAATTTTCAAAATAACTGTTTAGATGATGGATGTTACCTACTTTGACGAGAAAACCACTCGCACATTCACAGGACACACCCTTACATTTGACCTATGCCTTTTGATCAAATGAAATATTCTTGTTTAATCAAGAATTCTGGAGGAAGCAACACACCATTCCTCCCAAATATGAAGCGGTGGCACACTTTAGAGAATTGTTACGTGCCCTTCACTCTGAAGGCTGGGTTGTCTAGGACAGAAGATATGCTCACACCACTGGAATCACTTGGGACTTCAGTAGAGTCATTTTATGATGGACAGTGTATTTGACCAGCATTTTCACTCATACAAATGACTGGAAACAGTACTTTTGACCTCTGTTTTCGGATTTTTCTACTCTTCTCAAAATTGTCTAATGGTGGGTGTTAGAGTCTGAAGCTAAGGAGAGTTGAGGGCAAGGAAGGAAGCAGGTGAAGGAACAGGGAGGCAAACAAGAAACTGCAGAAGGAGACTTGGATCTCCAGCCACTCCAGGGAGGACACACACTGGAGAATCTCATAACCAGAGATGTTAAAATGTCCCAGCATTACAAACCAGCATGCCAAATGTGATCCCATTTAGGAAACAACATATAATACGTTATATAGGTGACACGTGACATATGCGTATGTACGCACAGACTTGTCTCCTATCCACACGCTCTCTATGGGTACATTAACAATGCTTAAGCTAGCTCTCGGTAGCAGGAGCTCAGCTGATTTGTTTTTTTAACCTTCTCCTCTACACTATTTACACTGTATTTTTTTTTTTACAAAGCATATGTATTATTTTATTATCATAAAAAGCAACAAACCTCTTTTATTTTGAGGATAAAATTCGCAATTGCGTCAAGCTCAACAATCCCACACACAGAACCAAAATATGATTGATAGCTAATGAAACAAAAAGCTCGGCAGACAGAGTAAGAAGTTGTGTGGGGAGGCAACGGCGGGAGGGAAAAGGAAACTTATTCTTCTCTCCACAAGTCTAAAGTGGCTGACTGTCTTTGCGTTGCTAGGCCTGGGGCATATTATGTCAAAATAATGAAAAATGAAATCAACTTAAAAAATCTATACTAGCTCACTAGTTGGCTTTCATTTCCCTTAAGTGATACACTCTAATGGCCAAATATTTTACAGTTTAATAATAATATTGATAATAATAAACATCTATGGAATAAGTGTCTAGCTGGCACTCTTCTAGAGTGTTTCCTTCTCTCCCCAGCCCTAGAAAGTAGATACTACTATGGTCCTCCTTATCCAGGTGATGTAGAGAAATTACATCAAGCTGAGATGCAGGCGAGTTAACACAGAAGCAAACGCATCTACTGAGGGGCAGAAGCGGGATCAAACCCTGGCGGGCTGATGCCAGAGGCTGTGCTCCTGGGGGCAGCACATTACTACTGAACTCTGTCACTGGTTTGCAAAATCCTGGAGAGAAACGGCATAGAAGAGAAGATGCTTTTGTCTGAAGATAAAGCCAACACAAGTCCATTAAAATAAGCACATAAATACCTAAATAAGAGAAAGAACAATGTTTCTGGAAAGGCAAAGGCAGCCCACTTCAGACAGTTGCATCATGGTCCATTATATTCAGCCGCATTGATGGGGAACATCTGTATACTTTAGCGAGAATGCCTGAGGCAAAGTACATTAATTATCTGATCATATTGTAGAATTTAAGAGCTTTGCCGTGCACTGTTGTCAGCCAGCGCTTACTGTATGACAAACCACCCCAAAACCCGGTGGGGAGTCCAAAAATAATTTCTTCTCCTGCTTATGGGTCTTTAGGATGACCATAGAGTGGTTGATGTAGGCCAGGCTCAGCTGGGAAGTTCTGCTTCACACTGTAGACCAGGCCGTACTTAGCTCTAGGCTGCAGGCTGCCTGCCCCATGCGTTCATTTTACAGCTCAGGCAGAAGGGGTAGCAGCCACTTGAGGGAAATTCTTCTTATGGCCATGGCAGAAACCCAAGAAACAAGCTCATTGCACAAGTGTATTTGAAGCCTTTGCTTATGTCATCGTTGCTAATATGCCATTGGCCAAGTTGGTGACCTGGTCCAGCCCAACAGCAATGGGATAGGGAAACATATTCTGCCTCTAGTGGGAAGGGAGGGGAGTGCATCTTTGTAGAATAATCCGACCACCCAAATGACTAAATCCTACAGTAACTTCAACGCCACTTTCTGCTTTTTGTCACTAAGGAGTTCGTCCTGAGCTTAGGGAAATACAGTACAGTGCCCGCCTCTCCTTATTTGCATTCGTACATTAAGAAGGGGGTCATTTCCATGGTTACAAATGATGGATCAGTGTTTTCCCAAGTCAAGAGATACGGTGGATTTGCCAGTTTAAAACCTATTTTACAGAGCCATTTCTGTCCCTCTGGTGGTCTGACTCTATCCAGGTGTTGGAAAAACTCAACTAGCCTTCACAGCCTGAAACAGAACCGTATAAAACTCATGAAACTGAAAAGTCATCCTTCTGGCAGGGTATGTCGGATGGTCCCGGGAGACCGAGGAGTGGGGTTGGGTGCTTACCTGGTGTTACTGAGCGAACGACCACTGGCTTTTCACTCCCTGCCACGAAACCAAATCCCAGCACGGGGTCCCTCCTCATTTCCACCTTCCGAGGGGCCGGAGGGATGATTTGGCAGCTCTCCAACCGAGGGTCATCAAATGGGATTGCCTGTGTCATGTGACTGTGGGAAAAGCACACAGAAGAGAAACAAGGCATCAGTGCAGGTGTTCGGCAATGGCCCCACAATTGCATTCTCCCAAGTTTCAAAACCTTCTATTTTGTGTTTGGTGGAGTGGAAAAGATGTGAGGAGACCACAGTCCTGCTTCTAGCTTGGCCTCCTTGTTCCTTGAAAACTCTAGGCCCATTTCTGGTTTAGGCTTTTGCATTAGCTGTTCCCCCAACCTAGAATGCTTGTCCTGCAGATGTGCATATGGCTCACCCTCTCAAGTCTTTGTTCAAACATGACCTGCTTTTTTTTTTTTTTTTTTGCTGAGGAAGATTTGCTCTGAGCTAACATCTGTTGCCAACCTTCCTCTTTTTGTATGTGAGCTGTCACCACAGCATGGCCACTGACGAGTAGTATAGGTCCGTGCCCAGGAACCAAACCCGGGCTGCCAAAGTGGAGCGCACCAAACTTAACCATTAGGCCACTGGGGCTAGCCCAATGTGACCTTCTTAAAGAGGCCTACCCAGACCACACACTTTAACATTGCAACCCTGATCCCCCATACCCAGATCACTTTATCCTCTCTTATTTCTCTTTTTTTTTCCCATACCACTGATCACTTGCTAACATGCTGTGGAGTATACCTATTCTATTTGTTTTGCTTTCCACACTCGAATGTAAGCTCCAAGAGGGCAAGGAACGTCGTTTCATCCACTGATTTAGCCCAGATACCTAGAACAGTGCCTGGCACATAGTGGATTCTCAATAAATCACTGAATTAATAGGTAAAGACAAAGATATTTCTTTGTGGAAAACGATCCAATTATAACTGATATGCTGAGAAAGAGCCTCAGAGGGTTATGGGCATTTAGTAAGGAATGTCTACGGCTTCTGGCCCCAGTGAAATTGAAGTGATGGGGATCATTTTGGCGGCAATAGGTTATCCTGGTGTCAAATACATTCCCCCTTTCCAAAGAAGTTGAGAAATTAACTCTTGGCATTTATTTTCTGGAAAGATTTTCAAATGATTTAAATGAATCTTTTTGCTAACACCTAAACTTCAGAAGTCTTATCAATAATCCAAACTTGAAATGTGTACAGCATTCAGAAATTTTCAAAATGCTTCCACATATATTTGTTTTTTTTTTTTTTTTTTTTAAGATTTTATTTTTTCCTTTTTCTCCCCAAAGCCCCCCGGTACATAGTTGTGTATTCTTCATTGTGGGTTCCTCTAGTTGTGGCATGTGGGACGCTGCCTCAGCGTGGTCTGACGAGCAGTGCCATGTCCGCGCCCAGGATTCGAACCGACGAAACACTGGGCCGCCTGCAGCGGAGCGCGCAAACTTAACCACTCGGCCACGGGGCCAGCCCCCTTCCACATATATTTGATCCACAAAACAACCTTGAGAATGTGGGAGAAGAGCAGATATTACTGTCTGCTTTTTCCCAATGAGGAAACTGAGATCAAAACAGCAGCTTATTGTTGCTCGTGGCCCACGGCTGGTACGCCAGAGCGTTGGGTAGGACACCAACTCCCATGATGCTTAGTGAAGCCTTCACATGCCCATTATCCAAGATAATGGGGAAGAGTTATTAGTTTGAACACTAAGAATCTCCTTAAAGTAATATAAGCAAGATTATTTCAATGACATGGGCTTAATTCAATTTTTTGTCTCTCTAATCTTCTTCAATAAGTAAAAATAGATCATTTTTAAATACCTTGAAAGATGCTACTCTAGATGCCATCTGGACAACATATTGTTCAAATGTAATAAAGAAAGACGGAGAGAAGGAGGAATCCTGTTGTCCTTCTGTGTAATTAATAGGAGTTAAGAAAAATCAATGAAAACTCTCCAGGATCTGTCCTTTACGCATATATCACGGACTAGGAAAATAAAAGTTTAAAATCCCTTTGAAACAGAAAGGAAATGTCTTTTCGATTTAGCGGCTTGTGATCTGGAACACCAAAGAAGTGTCAGTTGAGAACTAACATGTTGTGCGCTCCGTGCTGACACTCATCTGTCATCTTCTTTCATCTTCAGAACCCCCTATGATGGAGGCAGTTTGACCCACCACCTCCTCTTTGCAAATGCCGAGACAGGAAGAAGAACTGGGCCAAGGTCACACTCCTCTCAGGTGTAAGCCAGGTGCTAGTCACACTGGGTCTTCTGATTCGAAGTGTCATGTGCTCGACCAGCTACACAATTTGCAAGGAGAGTGCAAAATGAAAATGCGGGGCCCCGTGGTTCAAACACGATTAAGAACTTCAAGACAGCAGAACATGAAACCCAGCCCAGGGCCCTGTGTCACTACATGGGTCACACACCATAAAGCGGGCCCTGGTAGCCTGCTATCCCTAACGTCCCACCACCATTCTAGAAATGTCCAGGCTCTGAGTGGTGCTGTTATAGGGTCAAAGGGGAAGGGCTGTCTTATGTGAAAGTGCCGGTGTGTGTCTGGACCCAGAGATTAGACGTGGCTATCATGGTGGGACACACACTTGGGATGAAGGGAGGTGGGCCAACCTCAGGTGGGCAGAAGGTCACAAACAGAGGCCTGGCAGTCAGTCCAAAGGACAAAATTCAAGACCCTGGTTACACCAGGAAAACCGATGCAGGGTGAGCCCCAGTGTCCAGGGCATAAGCCTCACACAGGGTCCTGGGCTGCGAGGGACTGTGACACAGGGAACAGGCAGGGAAGTCAGGGCTGGGAACCAGGACACCAGGAGGACCTCTGATGCTCCTACAGCGGGCCCCACTAGGCAAGATCTTGACCCTCTAATACTGATCCCTCACAGGCCTGAAACAGGCATGGCTGCGTGTACCCGAGGGGGGAATGGGGCCACCTGGGTGTGATGGACACTGTTCTGTTCTCTTGCCTCCTCCATAAGAGAGCTCCATCTCAGAGCATGCTGTTCTCGAGCTGCCTTTGGAGATGAGCCTCTCCTTTTATTCCCAGATGGAACAAAGGAAAAAGGGAGGGGAAATCCACCTTTTTAGCACCTGCCCCTGAGCTCTGAGTTTGCACCCTAATCCAGAGAAGACATATTCTAAATGAGGAAGGCTGTAGAAATGAAGTGACTTGCTAATAGTCACACGGGTTGCAGAACAGGAAATGGACCTGGAGTTGGCATAACTCTCAGTTCCAAGCGTAGAGAGGGTCTGGGAAAGACTTTTCCCCCTGCTGCCGCCGGTTCTGAGAAAAGCTTCCGGCAGTAGGTCCCAAACTTCGCTGCACATTAGAATCACCTGGGGAGATTGCAAAGTCCTGATGCCCAGGTTTCACCCCAGACCAAGCACATCAGAATATCTGGGGGTGCAAGCCAGGATCAATTTTTAACAAGATTCCCCAGGTGATTCCAAAGTGCAGCAACGTTTGGGGACCCTTACCTGCCCAGAGAAGGGTGGGTTCTAGTATGCCTTTGAGATGATAGGAAAAGGGGACACAAATGATGTCCCTGACTACCTCCTCTAGCATCCATTGCAAATGTAACTTAAAATATTGAAAGTATCTTTACTTGATTATCCTCTTTCCACTACATGATAGTCTCCAATTTTTAATTCATCATTCATTCAATGACTATTCTATTATTGTTTGATTAATACTTGACATTTATTAAACACTAATTTCATGCGAAGCATTTTTTGAAATGCTTTCCATATGTTAGTTCATTTAATTCTCCAAAACAACTCCATAATGAATTCATTTATTAATTTAGTCAACAAATATTTATTGAACGCCCACCGGCGTCTCAGTTCTGGGGATATAATAGGAACAAAAGCAGAATAAAAAAATAAAATGTTCACTCTAGTGTTCAGAGACAAACTAATAAATTAGTAAAATTTACAGCATATCAGGTTATTATAAGCACTAAGGGGAAAATAATGCAGGGAGGAAAGATAGAGTGCTGCTGGGTGAGGTGCTGCAGTGCAATATCAGGCTTGAGGAAACGTCTGGAGAGGAGCATTTCGAGCACAGGGACCAGCAAGTGCAAAGGTCCTGAGGTATGACATGCCTGCTGAGAGTGTGCCTAAGGGGCAGCCTGGAGGCAGGGGGGCGAGGAAGACGGAGGCAGTGAAGGGAGTGGAAAAGAAGTGATGGGGGGGTCAGAGACCACATAGGCTCTCGGAAGGGCTTTGTGTTTTGTTCTGCGTGAAACAGGAAGCCATTGGAAGGTTCTGAGTGGACAAGTCATGTGACAGCAGCAGTACAGAGAACAGAAGGAGGGGGCCCTGGGAGGAGCAAGGAAAGCCATTCAGGGCCCATTACATCAACTCTGACAAAAATATCACGGTGGTTTGGACCAGGGTGAGGGTGGCAGAGATGGCAAGAAATTGCTGGTTTTTTTTTTTTTTTAACATATTTGGAGGCCACCCCACAGAGCAGGGGTGGGACTTCTACTCTGGAACCTTCTTCCTGCACACACCCGCTGTTCCCAGTGAGGACGAACCTATGAGCTTGTTGTCTAATGCAAGTCCTGTGTCCTCATGCATCCAAACCACAGGAGACATGTTCTCTTCAAGGAACTAACACTTTCCGGTTTGCCCAAGAAACAGACAAATGCCCGGATAGAGGGTGAACGTGAGGACTGATATGGTAGTCTGGGGTGAGACTTTGGAGCCAGAATGTCTGGATTCCAGTTCTGGCCCCACTACTTCCTAGCAGTGTGACCTGTACATATTACTTCATCACTCTGTGCCTCAGTTTCCTCATCTGAAAAATGGTGGTAATAATCACAACAATCTCACAAGATAATTGTGAAAATTAAATGAATGAATACATGGAAGCACTTGGCAGAATGTCTGGCACGTAGTAAGCACTCAAAAAGCATTACCTGTTATTTTCATCTCTTGAGCTCAATGAACAGGAAGGAATAGGTTTCAGACATTATGAACTCATTCAATCTTAAAATATGAAAAAAAACTCAATAACATTTCAAACATCTATGGCCCAACTCTCAGTGAAATGCCTCACAAATCCCAGGTAAGCTCAGAGGCCTTCAATTCAAAAAATC